CCCCAAAACCCCAAAACCCCCAAAACCCCAAAACCCCGTTCTTCTCAAATTTGACTTATTATTAAACGCTATGAAATTAAATTATTCTTTGTTTTCATTTACTCTATGTTCCAAAATCATGAAATTAAGTAATTTTAATCATAAAGTTGATGCATCTTGTGCACTTCTATCATCTTACACCTTGAGCTTCTCAATTACAGCTCTCAACTTTTCTTTTTCTCTTGTTTGCCACATTATGTTTCCAAAAGTGTATTCAAGAAATGTTCCAGTCGTAATTCTACCAAATTTTTCAACAATAGCATTAACTAATCTCTCCACATCAAGGTCTTCTCCTTTCTAGTAAGCGATGTTATAACCTAAGTAGTTCAAGAATTAAAATGCCCTTTAAATAGTTTCAATTGAATTAGTTGCCTTTAAGTTATATTCAAATATGTTATAAGTCAATTAAAATGTCTAGAAAAATAGCAATTTCGTTCCTGTGCTAATTTTTGAATCTGGATCAGACTCATATGAAAACTTCTGTATAACTTCCTTAATGTATCTAAGCTCGTGTATTTAATGGGAGGCACTTAGCCTCTCTAAATATTAATAAGCCTACAAATCATCTTATTTTAAAGAGTCTAAAATTTTGAATAGAAGCATTGTTTGGTAAAAATCAAGTTATCCAAATCTTTCTGTCGAAAAGTCAAATAAGTCAATTGTATCAGTTTATTCTAGAACTTTCTGATCCCAAACTTCACTAAAGTTGTTTAGAAATACCTACCTTTGCTTGAATAAATATTCTGGCAGTTCTGAAAGCTTACCATCTTTTATTTTTCTAATATCACTTTTAAATTAATCAACAGAAATTAGATTTTCATGAGACTACTATTTAACTTCTTCATCTTTATATGATTTTACTTCATGCTCCTTTGACTCAAACGTCACCATGTTTATGATATCCTAATTCTTAAGTTCTTCAATCAAACAACCCTAAGCCCCAACATATCCTAATGCAATGTATTTGAGGTTATCTGTAGCTTGAACTTCAGTTTTACCAATTAAACCAATCTTGATATATTCTCCACAAACAATATCAGGTAGTAAACAAAATACTTGGTCTCTGGTAGTATTTTATTCGAACTGGAAAATCTTGCTTTTATAGTGATATTTTCCAGGGGCATTCCCTATTTCTATTTATATTCTCAAAGGAGGAAATAAGGGACTGTTTGGCATGTAATTTGCTTGGAACACTGAAATTATCACAGAAAATATTAGTCCTTTTTCCAGACTCTGATTCGCAGCTAATTTGTAAATCAAATACTCACAATCATTTTCATCACTTGAACCAGTAGAACTCCAGAAGTGATGTGTTGCCTTTTTATCTATAGTTCTGAAAATAGATTGATTAAAATCCTGGCTTGAAGACTCAACGCCTTCAATCATAATACTCTTATCTAGCTCGGCATTTTAAAGAATTTGCTATCTCAAGCTAACCATAGCCTTATGAATATTCATTTTACTTTAGCATATATATTTGAATTACAAGGAGTTCAATCTGAAAATTGATGGGAAATTCATAATTGGTTTTACTATTTCATTATCAATTCCATCTTATATCCAGTTTGCCAATATAGAACGCCATATCGTACTTTAAGCTTAAATTTATTCTTGATGATATTTATTTGTGACTGAAAATTTTGTGATATCTTATATTTCTAAATAGGACAGAATGAGACCGAGCACATTGTCTTAAACATCTTTGATGTTGTTCTAATTAATTGAAGATTCCATTTTATTTTCTGAAATTCAAATATATTTTGCACAATATTTTCATGGGGTTTTGGGGTTTTGGGGTTTTGGGG